TTATTTTCATTTCTTCCATTAAAAAAACTAATTCATTTCTTATTTTCATTTCTTACATTAAAAAAACGAACCAAGTTTTTTATCCTTCTTTTATTAAAAAAACTCAAAAACAAAGTGAACAAACTTTTATTTTAGGGAAATTGAGTAATCTAATAACTTTTTTGGTTGTTTTTTTTAAATAACTTTTTTTTATTGGCAAAATGAATACTTGGTCCAGAATGGATTGTTCTTAACCCAATTTCAAATAGTAATTCTGACCCGGGTTCTCCTAAAAATACCATTTAACCCGTTTCGTACCACACTTCGACATCCCTTGTTTCAGACTGCACTTCAACATCCCTTGGTTCGGACTAAATTTCGACATCCCATTTCGGACACTTCTACAATTGAAATGTCTTCAGATAGCAGTGAAGAAATGCAGTTTTTATTTGTAATTTTCAAATTTTTTTTTCTAATTAAACGTATTTATGTTTTATTATTCGTTAAAAAATGTTTAGTTTACGCAATTATATAGGTATTATAGGGTTTTCTGTGAACTTTAATTTTGTTCAGACAATTGTAGGTATACATATACTTATACATCTATACTACATGATATATCGTAATAAAAAACCCTAACTTTTTTTTTCTAGTCCAAAATGTGTCCAGAATCCGCAAATCAAGCCCGGAATACGAAAATATTGTCCGGAATACAATGAAATGGGTTCGATTTATGGTCCGGAAATACTGTACCTGATTATCGGATTCCGGGAGATACATTAAAAAATCCTAATAATTCTTTTGATTGTAGCACGATAATGGTTGTTACTATAACCTGCAGACAGGTGTGGAATGTTTAGGCAATCATGTTTTGGTGATTACAAAACCGACCATTTTGGGCGGTGATGTTTAGGCAATCATGTTTTGGTGATTACATGCGCATGCTGATGGGTGTCGAATGTCACATTTTACTATGTCACTATCTTATGTGTAAGGAAGCTACTACTTTTGATCTAATTGACCTAGAAGAGCTTTTATTTTTGGTTGGCGACTATTGGGTTTGCTTTGACAGTAAAGCATTTTGCTAGGTTACCAGCCTGCAGTTTCGGGGATTATTTCCATCCTAGTTCTGATTTTGCAGCATTCAGAGAACGCGTGTTTCCATTTGTGCTACTTTCACGTTCGGTGAGTATGGATGACCTTACAAACATGTTCAATAACTCACTTCATCAATTAAGCAATGAAGACATGGTGAGAGTCTCCCTACTGTATATGCTAGAGTAAGGATTTTTAGGGAAATACCCGCAACAGCTAGTTACTAATCAACGTATGACGCTCGTCTCTAATTTATAGGAGTTTAAAAGGTATAACAACTTTTTACCCACATTATATCAAAATGATACATATACTTATTAAGTGTAATTTTTTTGAAATATGTACCTATAGGGTAGATTGATATGTGATTTCACTTACAAACAATTTCATACAGTGTTGATAAGATTGAGGAGCATTTGAACCCAAATTCGGCAAGAATCGGCAGTGGACACCCAATACTCTACAGGGATTTGTCTATGTATTTAAGGTGTGTACACTATGTTTAATAAGAGTTTTTAAATAACAAGTATTGTAACATTGTTAACTTGGTAAGTTGTTCGTTATCTTAATTTTGTAGATTTGGATATTTGAGACATTTCCCAACAGTAGTATTGTTGGTTCCCCTATATCGGGTGTTATCCCCTCGAGCGGTTGCATACCCTAGGATGAGGCGTTAGCATGCACCTGATTATGAATGTATTCTCGATGTTATTAATGTATGTAGTTTAGTCTACCTTATAATTTATAAGTTGATATGACATAAATAAGTTATGATTAACCTTTATATATTGTTTTTTATGCAACGTCTCCCCAACAAGTTGTTGCAGCCTACTATGCAGGAGCGTGCTGCTAGGTGGTGAATTAAGAATGTCTAGTTGATAGATGCTGCATATTACGCTAATGTTTGAGTTATGGGTTTCTTTATTAATGTTTTAAAACAATTGTCTTTTGAAGATGTAAGAAAAACAAGTTTATCCTTAAAACAATATTATGATATCGTACATACTACGAGTGGAATTGGTACGATACCGATCTTTTATTCCCTAAACCGTGTACCGTACAACCTGTAATTGGTATAAAAAAATTTGCTACAAGTACCAAACCATGTATACTTGGTACCAATATGTTTGGCTACTAAAAAGTTTGATTGGTACAAATTGGTAGTGATATATACCAACTTTTTTTTAAACATTTTTATTGTAAAATTTAAAAATAAACAAAGACAGTGGGTAATTTTGACGTTTAATAAAGAAATTAGCTAAATAAAAAAAATAGTTTAATAAAGAAATTAGTTAGGAAATTCTTTTAATTTACAAAATATTTCTATTGAAGTAAAACTAAAGTAATGTTTTAATTTTGTGTTTTAATGTGATAACAACTATTGACTAATACGACCAAATAGTTTATATATATATATATATATATATATATATATATATAATATATATATATATATATATATATATATATATATATATATATATAAATATATATATAATGAATTAGTTGGTATGGTATTCTCATGGTATTCAAAATTTTATACCATTACCATACAAAGACTACTTAATTGGTATGATACTACCGACCAAACATGTTGGCTACGAAATGTATTGGCTACCAACTTTCTTGGTTCGGTTGGTAACATGTTGGTTGATTTTCCATGGTACAATTTTTCCAGCCCTAGTACATACATCGCTATGAGTTTTTCAAATCAACAATATCATACTATTAGCTACCTTTTTTTGCTAGTATGTCTACTCTTAGACTGAACATTTATTTTTGCCACTTGAATTAGTCCTACTTAAAGATTCATTTTTTGTTGACTTTGTGGGAAACGGAGCATCACAGTTTCTTCTTTTGTGATCGATCCTTTGGCAACAACTACATTTTTTCTGATTCGGAACTTCACATTTGGATGGGATAAGATTATGGTTTTTAGGTCGTCTGGCTTGTCGTTTGTCCATCAATGGTGGCAAAACAACCATGACTTCATCCGGTTCTTCGTATTCAGCTGGAACTGGCACAGGATACACAAACTCTACATATGTTGAACAATATGTTTCCATTATGAAGTACGATGACACCCATGCACTGCAGTATTGATATCTCAGTTCCTTGAATACCGCCATAGCATGAGTACAAGGTATACCCGACCATTGCCATTTCCTACACGTGTAGTAACAACTTTCCAAGTTTACTATACTGTTTTAGCATTTGGTTAGTCACCTCATATATGCTTTGATCACTTTGGTATACCCCGAAAACCAGATGATTTGTTGATCCTACTATCGATGACCTTCTCAACATACTCAATGACTTCTTTTTTACTTTAAGCTATAACAAACATTTACGTATACATTTTCATGCACAGTAAATTACACTACAATTATGATTTAACTATTACAATATAGGGAAACACTTACCTCTAACATTACGTTGCTGGCACCACTATTGTTGCATAGTTGCTCGAAAGAAATCGATCAACATTGTTATAGGTAGTTTCCTTGCATCTCTTAATAATACATTGACCAACTCGACACTGTTTGATGTCATAATATTGTACCAAACCACGAGGAAACATGACCTTGCCTATCTTTCGTTAACGATTATGTCTAGCCATGTCTGACAATCATTGTTTAGTGCACGACATAACATACTCATGTAACACCCGTGTTCCCAGCTAGGCTTAGTAATCAAACATGTAACCTTTTTGGTCAAGTCAGATAGTGATTTTGTAAATAAATAAGACAGAATCATTTATATATTTTGTGCTTATGTGTTTTATTTGATATTAGGATATATTATATAATAAAATAAATAAGATTTAAAATACACGTCAAAAATAAAAGATCACTTAGGGAAAATAATCTCAACCGGGTTATAGTATTCGTAATTAGGATCCCGTACATATGCAGAACGTCTCAATCCGACTTAGAACGAAGAAGTTAGGAAGCGCTAAATTCTCGCGATAAAACCAACATGGCTCTGTTAGATTGCTTTTTAGCTTAGGAAGTCTAAACGGATAGATTTCGTAAATGTGAATTCATGCATATAGATATTGTCCAAATCTGTCTTGACTAGAGGAAGTTATGATTTTTTCTAAAATTCGACGTAATAGTATGCACACCGATATCGAATTTTAGATCGATAAATTGTTAGCAAACACAATCTAAACACGAGTTGAGGATCTCCTTATTAGGATTCCAATGATATAAAAACCATTGAAAACAAACGCTGGATGTGAGAGTTACACATTTTATACAGGCTTTAATAGGCTAAACCTATGTAAATAAAATAAAGTCAAAATTAGCCGACGGAGTCTAAAGAAAAGTTGTAGATCTTATTGGGAGCTTTCTGTGGATATAAAGAACGTGAAAAATGGAGCCCGTATGAAAGATTTATGCAATTTTGAAAATCTGGAAAACATCACACACGCGTCGCACGTAGCTTGCGCACAAAGTCAACCACGCAGCCCCACCCAGATCGTGCCACGTGTCGAGAGCCCAGTGGATCGACATCACCCTTATGCATGGCGCGCCTGATGTTGCATGGCTCGTAAGACTCCAAACCCGCCTATACATACCAGATCGTTCTTTCACTCCTCCCCATACCTTCCAATCGATATCTCTTTAAAAATTTCAATAGTCATCCCATTTTTCTATATTCTAGCCTGCAACATAGCCTGCGACACCCTCGAGTGCTCAACTTTCTATAATCTTCGTGTAGGAAGGACTTAAGTCAATATTTTGCCCGTTTAGATTAGATTCTCATCTATTGTAGCTACACTTACTATGAACCTGTGTAATTTATAATCATAGTTGTAAGTCGTTACTAGGATCTTATTGTTGGAATAGTGTCTAAGGCTGCAACTATATTAGGCAAGTATTTGACCCGATTGTGCATGGTCCTTTTGAGTTGCCTTCACCATAGCAACTTGGTAGGATGATTTATTATGAGAGAATAGATAATATTAATATATTATGAGAATAATATAATGAATAATAATATTGTTATTTGATTAATCTAAGTCATAGATTAATTAGTATTAATTTGGTGACTTAAAGAGATTAATTAAATAAGAGGGTATAAACTGTCAATTATTTGAAAGTTACACTTTAGGCTGTAAATCCTTATTGGGAACAGGGTGGAAGATTTCTAGGGCTAGGATAAGCCTAAAATCGTCCATGGCTTATCTTTGGTAAGGATTAAGATTACTTAGAGTCTAAGTTATCCAATTAGGGTTTAAGGGTGAAACCCTAGGAGCCTTACAAGTATAAATAGACCCCTTGGAATAGGGAAATCGGGACCCCCTCTACAGCAAGGATACCCTAGCCGATTTCCTCCTCTCTCCTCTCTCTCAAATCATTCTCTTTGCTAGTTGGTGTTTGTAAGCCATTAGAGGAGTGGCAATTGTGACTCTAAAGCTCCAAGAACAAGAAGATCAAACAAGTGTTTCAAGGTATGGTTATAACTATGGTTTTGTATTGTTCTTATACCTAATTAGCCATTAGGAGTCTTGGATTCAATGCATGTTTAATTAGAGAAACCTAGATCCAAGCATTAGGGTTTGTATGCGCACATAGGAATGTTCTTATGTACAAAACCCATCACTTATAATTAAGATTTATCAACAATTCCAAGTTGTAATATTAATTGATCTAATATGGTAGAGGTGTCTAGAATGGTTACGCCAACTTAGTTGTTGGATTTCAGAAAGACTATATATCGAAATGATCCTGCTTCCCGACTGTCTTGCATGGCTGATCCTTGTTTGATTTTGAAGTAGACTTTGGAATTGTTGAGGAATCTAAACTCTTAATACAATAGTTCCACATAGTATGAAACTAGACTAATATGTAGCATTATGTACATCTAGGTATTTTGAGAAAGGTGTAAGGCGAAGCTCCGTCCGATTCACCAATCACCAGAAACTTTGTCAAGTGAGTGTGTAGTTATTATCAAGAACATAATCTTAACTTAAAAATATCCATATAATAAATGTTGCTTGTATTATCTATGTTATATGGTATTTATAAAGATAATATAGTAAAATTTGTATTAGGAATTGTTATAGAAATCAATTGCCTTTAGATATAGGTCTTGCCTTAGATTAGGAATAAGACTTATAAAGGATTGTTTAGTGTTGAATAGGCTTAACATCGATTAGGACTCATAGTTGGGTTAGAGTGTGGGAATAGATCGGAGTGTAATCCTCCCCGTATTGGGATGACTAGAAATTTTGAGTCCCGATCAGATAACCGGACGGTATGTTTGGGTCATCGACCATAGTAGATGACCATCACTTGGCTGTTCTAGGCGGTCTTGTGAATTACGTTGCTAGCATGGCTTTATAACCCATGGGCGTAGATGAAATGGAAAGCTATATTCATCAAAATCTTTGAACATCGGTTTCCTTATATAACTTACACTAGCCAAGTCTCCCTTAGCAGGTGTAGTCAAATAGTTGCTTAGACAATTCATCCGATAAGGTGATTCTTCCAAATGATCGTCAAATTAGGATCTGTGAGGATCGGTTGAGATTGGGCAGATGGTCTTAGGATAAGTTATATATTTACACCTGATATATGTCTTCCTGGAATGATATTTTATCATTAAAATGTTATGGGCTTGAAAACCCTATGTATCTCTCAAGGTTTCCCAAACCTGACCCATTCATTTTATTACATCATAGGTAGTGGAGCAAAAGTTGAAATTGCATAGTTAGGATGCTGAGTGGAATAAAGGATAGGCTTGCATTAACTATTTTAGGACCTTTTTATTTACGCTGTAACGTATGTTCTGATATAAATGAATGATATCTTGAAGGTTTTAATAAAATAACTTTTGTTATTTTAAAAATGTTTATTTAAATGGGAACTTCCACATTTCAATACTTAAAAGCGTAAAGAAAATTTTTAAATTGGTTCTGAAAAATGGGGGATGTCACAGTTGGTATCAGAGCATTAGTTTAAGCGACCTAGGAATTTAGGAAAATTGTAGACTTAAACTTAGATACTAAGTATGATCAGTAAGATGTGCGATAAATGCCTTAGTTGCTTTAGACACTTGCCTTAGGACGTTATTGGAAGATGCATTAACCCGAACGCCATGACCATCACGAGGAATGGTAGAGTCGTCATGAATGAAGGAGGTCCAACACCTTAAAATGTTAGAGCAGCTGTTGTGCAAATTCCGATGAACGAAGCTCAGGCAGTGATGCAAGAAATACTCAGTCAGCAGTAATGTTAGTTTAGGGAATTATTAGCTCAGGAGCTAGCTAATATTAGAGGAAGAGAACCATTAGTCAATAGCCGTTAGTTGTTGTACAAGTCAACAATGGGCCAATTCCTTCACATGCTACAGTGGTCCAAGAAGGAAATAATGATGACTTAAAGAGTTATAAGGGACCGGAGCAGCCTGAAGTTTAGAGAAATGATGAACCCAAAGGTTACTACAAGTATAAGAATTTTATGACTTGTGAGCCATCATCATTTAATAGGAAGGAAGATCCCCTAGGAGTCGATTCATGGACTGGATATCGAAGATGGAATCAGCTTTCTTGACGTGTAGATGCACAAGAAAGCTAAAAACCACCTATGTTGTGAGGTGGTTCAAGGGTACAGAGATACGTTAGTGGAACATGTTGGGATAGATTTTGAGCCCCAATAAGCCGTTGTATTTGACTTGGGAAAAATTATTGACCCATTTCAAGAGGAATTTTTGTTTGGCTGAGAAGATGCTTGAATTGGAGAATCAATTCTTGGCTTTGACAAAAGGAAGCATGTTAGTGGATGAGTACACCAACTCCTTCACTGATAAAATGGAGTTTTCCCTATGAATCCTTCTAGACGAACTAACCAAGATTGATTGGTATGCTAAGGGGCTACTGTGGGAGTACACTATGCCAGTAAAGCAGACACCTACCTTCGAAGCGGTCATCTGGGCTACAAAGTATGTCGAAGGAATGATGAAGAAGAGAGCTACTGAAAAAACCGAGGTTGGTGAAAAGAAAAAGGTTGAGGTAAGTAACAATAAGAAAAAGAAGAAGTTTTCGAAAACAAACAACAAATATGGAAGCAACCAAGAAGGGAAGTGTTGCGACCAGTGCAAACTGAAGCATTTCAGTGAC